AGTAATTATTAAAGTCTATACAATAACTATTCATTAGTTTTAATTGTTACCAAATTTGAGGAGTTTTTTTTATACCTAATAATTGAAATTTTTTTAAGTTTTAGAGCAATAAGGACAGGTTGTTGTTGTGTTTTTTATTAAGGGCGGTGGGCAGGGCCTGTGTGAATGAGCTATTAGTAACAGTCATCTTACTCATGGATTTGATGCAACAACACAAGAAGGTGTTCAAATTGAATTACTTCCATCAAGCATATTTAGGTGTTTGAGAACAATGTTTTGGTCAATTGTTATATCGGAAGTTGAAACATTTGTTTTAGATGCAAAAGGTTTTAGTGGCTGGGTCAGTGGTTCCTTTTGTAAAAACTTGATATAGGTTGTTCAAAATGTTTGCTTTTGTTATTTCATCACTGCTCATTTGATTTGAATCTGAGGTTAAGGCTGATATTTGATTGCTCACTATCCGTTGACTATTAATAAATATGTAAAAATAAACTTTGACATAATGTATCTACAATTTTGTCAACTTTAATACCACAAACAAACAAAGAGCCGTTTTTTACCACAAACTGAGTATCTAAGCCCTTTACCATATATATATATATATATATATATATATATATATATATATATATATATATATATATATATATATATATATATATATATATATATATATATATATACACATATATATATATATATATATATATATATATATACATATATATATATATATATATATATATCTATATATATATATATAAATATATATATATATATATTATATTTATATATATAAATATATATATATATATATATAAATGTATATATATAAATATAATTATATAAATACATATATATATATATATATATATATATATATATATATATATATATATATATATATATATATATATATATATATATATATATATATATATATATATATATATATATATAAATGTATATATATATAAATATAAATATATAAATATAAATATAAATATATATATATATATATATATATATATAAATATATATATATATATATATATATATATATATATATATATATATATATATATATATATATATATATATATATATATATATATATATGGGTAAAAGATTACTATATCTGCCTCAATATCTGTGGAGTAGGGTAAAAGATTACTATATCTGCCTCAACATCTGTGGAGTAGTCCAAAATCAAAAAAAGAAAAAATTTTTCTTTTACTCTTATAACATCTGTTCATATTATCTGAAAATACAACGCCCCTAAAAACAACTTTAGGAAGATGGAGCTACATCTGGTAATTTTTCTCCAAGTTCAATAACATATGGAAGAATTATCTCCAGATCTGTAAAAAATTTTATATGTAATAATATCTGGTTAAAATAATGAGTTATTAGTTAATTTTTCTTTCCAGATGTATTTACATCTAAAAAAAATCTTATATGTAACTACATCTGGTTAAAATAATGCATTATTAGTTAATATTTTTTTCGCGATGTAGTTACATCTGAAAAAATTTCAATATGTAATAGCATCTGATTAAAATAATACATTATTAGTTACCGTCAACCGGGGTTACTTTACTCTGCTTTTAATGGTTATTTTAATGCAGTTAAGTTTAGGGCATAATAAAAAAATTTTTCAAGTTCTAATATGTTGTTATAACTAGTCTATGAAGAAAAATTTTTTTTTCTAATATATGTTTTGATTGGTTATGTATATATGTTAAAATTGGTGCTAAGTAGCCTCAATGAGAGGGTTACTTTGCACCACATAATAAAAATATGTTTTTAATGTTAAAAACAAAAAAAAATCTCGCCCAAAAAGGTAATTTTAGTATAAAGAATTTCACAAAAAACTATTATAAATAAGTACAATACTTTATGTATGTTAAAAAATGGTTTTAAAACTAAAAAACATAAATCTTACCCAGAAAGTTGATTTAATTATAAGGTTTAGTTCAGGAATTTCATAAAACACTACTTTGAATGAGTGAAATATTTTCCTTTAAATAAATAAACATTAAAGGCAAAATAAAAAAATCAAACAAACGTCCACCATGTTATATGTTACTGTTTACTCGTATTTCCCATCATCAAACAACTCTGGCACTGAAAATATCCCTCTTTTGCTAAAAACTTTAGGGGGGGCTTATTCCTCCAACAATCCTATCCCATGAATAAAAAAGTTCATATTTTGAGTCATTTAGCTTATTAATTATAAAATGTCATTTAGCTTATTAATTATTGTTTTTCTTGGTATGTTAAACTGATTTAAAGCTATACGTCAACTGAGTGTTCCTTTTTTCATTAAATCTAAGCATATTTGCAGTGTTTTATTTGAATAATTTATGTAAGAACGAGCTCCTAACTTTCTTTTGCAATGTCTTACCATCCTTAAAAACAATTTGCATCTGTTAGCAACGTTTTAAACTATTAAATGTAAAAAAACAATAGTCTGAGGTTACTTCATTATTCTCTTAACTCGTGCAAAGTGACCCTATTTGGTCAAAACTTGACACTAAAACTATTTTTGACGAACACCTTCCTAAAATAATAAATTAATTAAAAACTTTTTTTGCATGATTTAAACAACAGATGGTTTTTTTTATAAAAAAACTAAACTTATTAAAAATTGATATAGTTCTCGTGTAGAAACACGCCACTTTTAATAGAGAAAAAATTTGGTATAAAAAATGGCTTCCACAAATATTGAAAAAATATCACATAAAATGGCAGCATCATTCAAAATTTATTCTGAAAGTTAAAGATGATGGGCCAACTAACAAGAAAAAACCAAATAGTTTAAAAAAATCAATTTTGCTATTAGAGCTGGGTAACTACAAAAAATTTTCAAAAATGGTGCAAGGTAACCCCCGATAGAGTAAAGTAGCCCCGGTTGACGGTAATTTATCTTAAAAATAACTTAATTTTATAATTTACAGACGTAGTTGTACAGATATTATTACACTTTGATAATTTAAAAGATGTAACTACATCTGTTAAATCCAAAGACGTAGTTGTACAGATGTTATTACACTTTGATAATTTAAAAGATGTAACTACATCTGTAATATTCATTTAAATTTTGCACAGATGTTATTAGACATCAATGAAATTTCAGTTGTTGTTGGACAGATGTTATTATACCTCATTATATATATACAGATTTTGTTGGACAGATATTATTAGACATGGCAAAAACTGATGTTACCCTAACCCTATATATACATACTATTTACATATATATAAATAAAGGACTACAAGTGGTGTGAATTGCAAAAAAGGTACCACAAGTAGTAATATTTGCAAAATAGGTACTGCAAGTGATATGACTTGCAAAAAAGTACCGCAAGTAGTGATATTTGCAAAATAGGTACTGCAAGTGGTGTGACTTGCAAAATGGGTACCGCAAATGGTGTAACTCACAATTTTTGATAGACAGCTCTGGCTTATATTCTTGCTGTGTCTATCGTTGACAATGATTATTATTTAGTTTCAATAATAAAATTGCAAATTTTAATCAATTAAAAAATTTTTTTTTTTTTATGCTGGAGAAGGGGCAGGGAGCGGGGATGGGGGGTGAACAGCATACACCCTTCCCCCTTTCTCTGAAAAATTGTAACATAGATACATCTTGTAATGTAGTAAAGTAGGTTTCCATATAATTTTCTGTCTTTGAGAATAATCAAATTATTATTATTTTTTAATTTATTTTTTAGGTTGGAGAGGGAAAGGGGAGGAGCACACACTTATCCCCCTAAGTCACTGTATTTACCTCTCTTTATCAACCCAAACATAAAAATATACCTTATATAGTTGGCATTGAATTGAAAGCTAATTACAATAATTTTTTGAATACAAAAATTACCAATTTCACAAAAAATATGTTCTTCAATGGAATGAATATGCATTTTGTGGTGGTAAAGATGGTAATTTGGCACCCCTCTAGCCCCCTTGAGATACCTGATGGGTAGAGGCTATTATATGTAAGGAGCCTACTGTTACATCTATCTTTTGATACCAAGTTATAGGCATTTAGTTAAGAATTGACAAAGTTATAACAATTTTAGCAAAGAAAAATTAATTTTTGACCACAGTTTCTTTAACAAATCCACATATCAAAAATTTGATACTAAAAACTGCCTAACTGATTGTAGATTTGTCCAATTTTGAAAATTTTTTTGCCTTTAAAATACTGTAATGAAGAGTTTTCTAATGACATATAACATTCTAGTATTTAATTAATTTAAAATTTTCATGTCACGTACCAATAAACTGGGGTCACTTTGGACATCAAGCAACTTTAAAAAAATTTGAGATCTTAAGATTAAAGATAAATATAACATCCATATGACTAAATATGATTAACTGTAATATTACTTTTTATGTTAACTAGTAAATGTAATGAAATTACATTTACTAGTTAACATAAAATCTGTTAATTCCATATGTATCTAAATAAAATCTTAATTTTTTTTTGAAACCCCAGTTTATAGTACCAAAGTATTAAGTTCAATAAAGGAACTTATTGCATCATTTAGAACTTTAATAAAACAATATTTAAAGTTGTTGTATAAAAAAGTATTTTTTTGGGTGCCAGTTTACATGTATTACACTAAGACATTATTATTTTTTCAATGTCATATTTAATTGCAGTACTGTTATTTTTTTAATCAAATTTTCTACAAATGGCATTGGAAGAAAATTTGGCAATGGCAACGCCTGCAACTGTTAAACAGATACTTTATAACCTTGGTTCAAGGTTATCAAGTACCTGTTTAACAGTTGCAGGCATTGGAAGGAAATTTTTCTTTTGTGATTTATTTACAAAGTTTAATTTAACCAAGGCTTGGATAAATTAAACTTTGTAAATGAAATATGAAAGAGTTTATCTATTGTGACCCACTGGATGACACTTATTACATCATAAAAAATTTCACTAATTATTACACTAATATACACAATTAAAAAAAAAATTATACCAATAACAGTTCTATCTCTTTACACTGTAATTCATCACAAGAATTAGATACAGCATTCTTTATAATTTGTCGAGAAACATTTGATAGTCCATAAGAAGAATACTTTTCTGCAATAATAAATTTAGGACAACGTGTAGCATCTTTTCTATACTTTATATTAAGATTTAGCTCGTTGCACACAATAAGTGATATGAAATAAGCAGCTCTGCAATGAATAGAGTCATCCAGAACTAATGTCATATTTTTTTTAAATCTAGTCGATTTGTATTAAAGGTCGTCCATAAAATACGTACGCTCATGCGGGAAGGAGGAGGTATGTAAACAGTAGGGTAGGAAGGGGGGGGGGGGAGGTTAAATAAAAAACAACCACTTAAATAGAAACTAGTATTGATACGACTATTAAATAATTCGACTGTCGACTAAATCGACTAATATATTTTCTAAAATTGAATAAAATTGACTAAGGAGTTGTCCACAAAATACATCACGCAATTTTTGACCATTCAAACCCCTCCTCCTCCCCCCCCCACCTCCTCGTCAAAGCATCGTAACTCTTTAGTAACAAGTGCTGTATGAGTCGTACAAAACCACTAACTTCTTCTAAAGCGTGACGGAGTTTATGGACTTTTGGAGTTATGAACCCCTAATACTTTTTTGAAATTAAATAAATCGACTTTTAGTCAATTTGTCGATAAATTTATTTTCATATTTCGACTAAAAGTCAGTTTAGTCGAAATATGAGAATAACTTATTTTTTGAAATAAATTGTCATAAAAATATTAAAGTAATTTATATTAACTTTCTAGTTTTTAACATATCATTAAAGTATTAATGGAGCATAACAATACGAGAAAAGGAAACAACGAGACAATTATTCCCAGAAGATAATGATTTAGGGACTGCTTTAGATATTTGCTATAAATCAAAATCTTAACAATCATATTTACAATGTGATTGTAAAGACTTTGATTTATAGTAATGCCTCGCGCAGCAGGGCCTTTCTAAGCGCCTAAAAGTTTACTTATTTTTAACAAGAGTAAGGCCTCGCGCAACGTGGCCTTAATCTCCTTTAAAGATAAGTAAAAGGCCTTACTGTCGTTAAAAAGTAATAAAAAGTTTTGGTTAAATGAAAATAATATAATAATAATATACGTGCCGAAAATATCTATCAGATTATCCGCTCAATAAGTTCAATTATTTATTAATTAAAAAAATTGAAGTGTTGGCTATGTTTGACCCTGTTATTCAAAAGCATGTTTGGCGAAATCAATTGTCTGAAATTCATGCTCACTACCGAGGGGCGACCATTCAAAACGATTTAATAAAGTTGCTGCCTGAAAAGGTAAAATTTAAGAATATTACGGATATAAAAGTAGTTAAGTATTTCTCAGTGATGCTTGACTGCACACTGGGTCCTAGTCTCAAAAAGCAGTTATCCTTGGCCATACAATTTGTAAAAATTGATATGAATACAAGTTCTCTTGAGAGTGAAAATGATGGTGTAAACATTTTGGATTCTTAGACGTTAAATCATAGAGAAATTCCAAAGGTATACCTTTTATATTGGAATTTCTCTTAGGCACAAATCTTGAAAATAAATCTAAAGGCATTTCCTGCGCTAGCCGTAGCCTCAACCTCCTAATTTGTGACGCTGCAATATGTTCACCTTAATCTGTGACATTTTTTGGTGTTGTGTTCTTTTTCTTGTAATATAATTGTCTATATAATTTTTTCTTTGTCAACAATGTAATGAGAAATTTCCATGAAACACGTACCAAATCTGAATGTAAAAACGTCCTGTGACGTCTCTTTGGGAAAGTAAACTGGAAAGCGTAAAAACGCTTCGATATCAAATTAATAAAGTTCATAACGCATTAGTTGAACTAGTTGAGTTAACTAAGGATTTAAAATCCAATAGTGAAACACAATCAGTTATGGATGAAATAAGAAGTTATGAGTTTTTACTAGCCCTATATATTTGCTATGATGTACTGTTTGCAGTAAACAGTGTTAGCAAAAGCCTACAAACTCAAAAAATGCATCTTGGAGTTTCGTCACAATTACTTCAAGGGCTAGTTCATTTTTTCAGAAATTTAGAGCTAAGAATTTGTGGTGGTATTGAAGGGAGGGGGGGGGGGGGAGGATATTGAAATATATTTGTATTTTGTATCACATTTGCGTCTCCTAAAAAAAAAGGTGTTAACAGTATTAATAATACTGTTAACACCTTTTTTTAAAATACAAATGTTTTAACAGTATTAATAATACTGTATTATTTTTTTTATTGGTTAACAAGAACTACTTGTTTTTATCAGTTGATATTTTTCAGGATTCTTTTATAAAATTATATTCTATTATTTTAGAGATGTGAACACTTATTATACAACATTTACCTATCTATGAGCACCCTTCATATCGATTGCCAATAACAAAGTATGTGCAAATAACATTACTATTTTGTAATAATTTTGTTATATTATTTATAATTGATTATTCAATAATAACCCAACAAAGAAAAATTTATTTGTTATTCTAATTCATTTATTTCTTGTCAGACAAAATTTTTTTATTTATTTTTCATTATTAAGCCTATAATAACTTAAAGAGTTAATATAAAATAACTAGAATATAAATAATATAGAATAAGAGCAATAAAGTAAAAACTTTATTGTTCTTATTCTAGGTTATTTTATAAAACACTCAGTCGTTTTTATAAACTTACACGAAAATAACAACTCAAAATTATATCAATCCAAAAGTTATGTTTTGCATTTACAGAACCAATTTTCAGACAGTAAGAGATAAAACTTTTTCTTCGTTAAAGTGCTTAAAATGACGACTTTATCAAAGGCCTAGCAAAAATGTTTTGCTTTAGGCCTCTCATTTTCAAAGGGCGGTTATGATTGTGATAAATGCAAATCACGGCCAACGATACCGGTTGGGGAGGGGGAGGGGCGAATATTGGGGTACCTTTTCTCCCTCATTTTTTTCTTTCTTTTTTTTACCTTTTATGAAATCTTCACGAACTGGAAACTATAAGAGTTTTTGGAGTATATTCTTCTTCTCGTCTTTTTCAACATCATCATCTCCTAAAGCCATTACAACAAGCTGCTGACTTAAATACAAGGTATAATTTTGTATGCTTTTCAGTATTGATTAAAAAAACTCAGGATATTCTTTAATTAAATCAAACACGTCTTTGAATGCTGCTAAATTATTAGCTGGTGCTTTAATACTCAGAGAGCTTTTGGAAAACCAAGGACAGTATATTAAAAATATAAATAAAAAAGCTGTCTGAACCATCTTCTTCTCCTTTTTTAATGTAAGCAAATAAATTGCATCTGCCATAAACCTTGCTTTATGACAAGCTCCTGGCTGATGAAATTTTATAGCTGGAACATGACCACCAAAGTGGTAAACAAATAACTGACAATTTGTGTAGTCTCCTCTCTTGAAAATATTTTCATTTAGCGCAGTTTCCCCAAACTTTAATGCCGCCTTGACTATATTATAGATTGGTTATTCATTATCTCTAAAGAAGTCCAGTCACACTTAACCAGATTATCTGATGATGTGATATCTTGTCGACAATCTTTGACCAAGCCTTCTGTAAGAGCACATAAACTTCTCTTCTCGGAAACTTGTTCTCAGCTCCTGTCAGTGCAATCATCAAATATTTAATATGCACTTTAATAATATGGTGACGACACATGTACTAGACAAGACTTGTATTAAGGATAGTTGATAGGCTTGTAACTGCTCCCGCAAATTTTCCGGTGTTGGTTGCAGTTGTGTTGCAGCAAACACTAATGATATTGTCAATTGTTCTCTCACAGGTAACTGTCACATCATTTTTTTCTTCCAGCTGTCAACAAGTTTGCCATCAAAATGGACTATAAGTTTTTTTCTTTTAACATTAACAACATCCTGTCGTAGGGTTTCTCCTAAATTAATTAAATTGTACATTTAAAATAATAAAGATAATAAAACAAGTAAACTTCACTTTTGTGAATAATAATTACCAAGATTTTCAATAGTTCTTTTTCTGTGTAGAGAAGATCTTGATAAATTAATCTCATTCAAGTCAACACCTGCTTTATTGCAGATAGAAAAATTTATAGCAGCCTGGGGCCTAACACCGATTCTATACCAAACGCTAACAACTAGTTCATCAGGTGTTGATTCTAAAATTATTTTCGAATTTTTGATTTGATACATCATATTCAGAACCATCACTTTCTTCACATAAAATGGAACTTTCAAATGGGTTAACATCATCTTCAAATTCAATTTGTCCATCCAAAGCTTTGTCTATGCTTTTCTTGTCTGTTGACTTTTGTAATCTGTCAAATGTTTCCACAGTCCTTTTCTCTTTTTGAGCCTTTGTTTTTTTCTGATCATTCAACTGCTTAACTCTTTCAAATCATTCCTTTCTTCGCAGAGCATTAATTTCAAATTCTTTATCTTGCTTTGCAGTCATGGTCATATTCCTTTTAGATCTCTGGTCTTTGTAAAAGGCTACATTTTCTTTTTTTGCCTCTTCTGTTCTTCTTTGATCATTTATTTGACCTCTGATAAAATATTCGAAGAACAGAATTATAAAACAAGTTATTAACCTCCACCTGGAAATCTACTAGCTTTTGAGTCCAAATTCTTATACTTGAACTCGAGTTTACTCCATCCTTTCATTTTGTTATATTTATCTGTGAGTTTTAGGATCCTTTCACTGAAAAACATTACATAGCTGAAGTTACTAAAAAATACGATAAGCCTACAATAATGTTTTTTGTTGTAAAATTTATCTAACAGATCTACCAATAATAATGTTGCCCGTAAAACCAGCTTTTATCCAGATGTCAGTGATATCTAAAGTTACACATCTATTGATTGATCTTTCACATGCTCTATACAAGCAAACTAGATTTGTGGTTCCTGTTTTTGTTAAAATCTGATGCTCATTTATAAAAGAAAATCAACCGAAAAATATGTTTATATTCATAAGCTGTAGGTTAAGTAAATAAGTTAGATAAAAACAAGATATTTAAATTATCTTGAAGATTTCAAAAAGTAAAAGTGTTGCAAGATATTTTTGACGGGTAACTGGTTGAATGAAAGCTTATTTATAGGATATTTTAACAGAAATAGAGATTGTCTTAAACTGCTTTGGTCTTTTTTTGCTAGATTTTTTTACTGTACGACCTATTTTTAAAAATATATTTAATTATGAAACTAAAAATGTTGAAACCATTTTAAATCACATGTATATTAAACTAATCAAAAGTTAATAAGTAAAAACTAGCGGTAATCAATAAAATACCAATACT